AAAAGTTTGAGCGCCTTTTCTCCTCATTGCACCGTCTCAGTATTTTCAGTTTTAAATATTCACCTTAAGAAATTTAGCGTCAGAAGAGTATTATTCCATAGAAAACAACATGATAAACAACTTCTACGCTCACATTTCCGCTCCAAAATGCTTCGTCGGAGAAAAACTACAGGCAAGATCTCGAAAAAGCAGGCTTTTTGGCTCCCGAAAAACCATTCTGAAGATCAAATCCGAATTTCTCCGCCAAACATTGTCGCGGAACGACGGCAATCTTTTTACATATACATCTCGAGGCACTCTATCAAATGGTTATAAAACCGAGGTTTCAAACTGAAAAGTAAAAATTTTATTTATATTTTAAGAAATGGGCAAAAAAGGCGAAAAAATTTAAAAACTTTTTTCTCGAAAACTACAAGTCCGGAAACCTCCAAAATTTTTTCATATATATTGTGAAGTGTCCTCTAGAATCTAGCAAGTTTGAACCAAATCGGAATGGGAGGACGCCCCGTTAATAGCTAAAGAAATAGGCATTTTTAGACAAGTGATTTCCAAAATTTTTAACATTTTGAAGTGCCGAACGGTACCGGCGATTCTCTACTCTAAACATAACATAAAAGGAAAGGGCAACATTTCTCCATCTATGGGTGTTTTTTTCTCGAATTAGACTTCTACTGCGGTGTCTGAATAAACAAGCTTTCTGTGCAAATATCGAGTACAGCAGAAGTGTACCGAATTGGCTATTTGTTATTCATATAGTTAGAAGTATTTTCGACTACACACTGTAATGAAGCGTATACAAGTATCGTGTATAAGTGGTTGTCTCCATTGATATGATCGGTAATGATCATGAACGCGCGAGTTTGAGCTTCGTTCAACGTGAATTGTTTGGATATCTGTTCCTAGTGTTTCCGGAACGATATGGCTATGATGCTTGTCACTTGTTCGGTTAGTGATTGAATATCACTTTCGCCGTCTAGGTCTACCACATTTCGATTTACGTCCGTCGCTTCCGCAAGATTTTGGTCTTCATGCTCTCGTTCTTCACCGTTTAGCATTTTCTCTCTGGCCTTTTGTTTTGCCTTATTGAGTTGTTTCTTCCAGATCTTGTTCAGTCGAATGTGACTAGTTGTGGCTTCTTTGTGGTATGATTCTGTATTCATAATGGAATTCGTCTGATTAGCCGTCGTTGGTGCTGACAAATGAGGTGCTGTACTTTGATTTTCTGTAAAAGAAAACAAAAAAATATTTCATTGTTCTATGTGCATGACTCGACGTACTTGTCGAATGTGAAAATCTGCCAGTTTGTTTAATCGAAAGAATTGCGTCGTGAATATACGCATCATTTGGGTTCAACGTTTGTGGACCGAGCTCAGACACCCCAGTCGTCATATCATTGATTTGCACATCGGACTCAGACAACTCACTCGTCATATCATCGTGATCATCGTTGAATTGTAGTAGTGCAACGAGATCTTCTGAGTCATCCATCTGGCTAAGGTCGTCTCGAGCAAAATTTGTCGGTATATAGACCGAGTCGATATTGTCAGCCGCTGCTTGTGTTTGCTCAATAACTTGAATTAAATGCTCGTCGCGATCCTTCCTACACTCATGCAGTAGCTGAATATTGTCAATTATTGTTTTTGACGATGGCAGGAAAAAGTCAGCCTTTAGTTTTAATGATTGGTCCCACGTTATATCAGTTTGACATAAGTGATCTACACTTGTCCAGGGCAAAAACAATGTCAAAATGGCACGAGCATAGCGTTCTTTCGTATCTTCTCGATCTTTTCGAGGTAACTGAGGTCCAATCAATCCTTTGATTTGGTTGTGGGCCACGTCTGTTGATTTGAGGTCCAGATTGTTTGCTTTCTGCTTGAGTGTCGAAATATGTTTTGTCCGTTTTATCAACTTTTTTCTTATGGTACGTACGAACAAAATCGTATAAACACATATCGGCTATTTCACTGGGACGAAATTGGTAATCAATTTGGATGTTAACTAACGCATAGTTGTTCAGAATGTTGGTCTGTCCTATTGAAAACTGTTCATTAAAATCATCCGTTTCCACCTCTTTCACATTTAGGTTTTCCTCGGTGTCTGATACATCCATTGTTGTACCTATAAAGAATCATCTTTGTAAAAT